CCAGCCTTGTCTACATAGTGAGTTCCAGGCCAGCTGGGGCTACAGGGAGACCCTGTTCAAAAAAACCCAAAAAAAAAAAAAAAAAAATGAAGAAAGCTCATAAAAAGGTGCACAAACAATACAAGCATGCAGGCATTCTTCCTCCTCTTCCAGCAGTGACACGTTGAATGCAGAGCCTGGGCCCTTCTCCCCTCAGGTCTCACCAGTTCTGCTCTCTCATTGTATTAGTTGCTTTTCTGTTGCTGTGATAAAACACCGGGACCAAGGGATTATAAAACGAAGAGTTTATTTAGCTTATGGTTCACAAGGGGCAAGAGTCAGTCCATCATGGAATGGAGACATGGCGGCAGAGGTGGTTGTAGTAGGAGCAGAAGCTAAGCTCTCACATCATCAAGGAGGCATAGGAAGTAGAGCGGGACTGGAGATCTGGCAAGGCTTAAGAACTCTCTAAACCCACGTGGAGTGATATGCTTCCTCCAGCATGGCCACACCTTCTAAGACCTCCCAAAACAGCACCACCAAAATGCCCAGATACTTGGAGCCTATGGGAGACATTCTCATTCAAACCTCTTCACCCATCAAGCTTAATAGCCATTATGTACTGGGGGAAAGGGGTCCCCTGCTTCCTGCCCCTCTCCTAGCTGTGCCTTCCCCTGCTGTTTAACCCTGATCAGCTAGGAAGAATGGGAAAAGAATGGCCATGGACAAGCAAAGGCCACCTTCTCCCTACTTGATAGATATTGTAGTGAAGAGTTTAGCAGAGAGCTGTCTTCTGAAGATGGCGAGACCTCTGAGCTTAAGTGGTGAAAAGGACTTTAAGATATGTAAAATACAATCTTTTTTTCCCTTTTGCAATTCTTGTGTTTAGGATTTTGTAGAAATCTAATTATGGTGAAAAACCTATAATTTTGTAGCAGTGGCAACTATATTCCCAGCAGGCCTTTTTTTTTTTTTTTTTTTAATTGAGGCAGGGTCTCCGTGTAGCCCCAGCTGTCCTGGAACTCACTATGTAGACCAGGCTGGCCTTGAATTCACAGAGATCCGCCTGCCTCTGCCTCCCAAGTGCTGGGATTAAAGGCATGCGCCACCACGCCCAGCAGGCCTTTTATTGATAGCATTAACTGCAAAGCTGCTGGGAAATAGAGTCCATTTGGTTGATGAGTCCTTTGGAACCTAATCTGTTCCTATGTTCAATATTCTATCTCAGGTACTACTCTCTGAATGAGTCCAAATAAAATGAGTTTTTCTGGTCAAAAAAAAAGTCTGCTCATGCTTGTAACCAATTGATATGCTATTGTTGCATCATGATTTCTGTAGACATGGGCTTGTTATGTTGGTTCAGTTTGGTTTTGGTGGTGCTAAGGATTGAACCCAGGACTATGCACGCTAGACAAGGACTCTACCACTAAGCCACATTTGCAACTCTTTTGTTTTGTTTTGTTTTGTTTTGTTTTGTTTTGTTGCTTGAGATAGGGTCTCATACTGTATGTAGCACAGGATAACCTCAAACTCATTATGCCAAGGCTGGCCTCAAAGTTATAGCACTTAGCATCCTGAGTGCTAGATTAAAGGCATGTGCTACCATGCCGGGCTTCTATTTCTCTTTCTGTTAACTATCTGTTTATAAGCTTTGCCCATGTTTTGCTTGTACTGTTTCTTTTGAGGTTCTTTATTTTAGTTTCTCCCTTTGAAGAAGAGCCACTTTAAAGATCCTTATTTTCTTCCTTCAGGCATTCCATATATTGGCACTAGGCTTATTAGAAGAGAAACAGCAACTCCAGAAAGCGCCTGAAGAGGAAGTGACATTTGACTTTTACCATAAGGCTTCAAGTATGCTAAAGCATGATTTTATATTTTATTTTATTTTGTTTTAACTTATTTATTTTTTAGCCTTTTTTGAAACAGGGTCTCCCTGTAGCCCCAGCTGGCCTGGAAATCGCTATGTAGACCAGGCTAGCCTTGAACTCACAGAGATCCGCCTGACTCTGCCTCCCCAGTGGTGGGATTAAAGGCATGGTTAATCATTTTTTAATAGACTTCAAGCTAATTACCAGTTTGTAATTGAAAGTTTGGATCTTAAGGAATTTTTAATCTGTCTTTAAAATTTAGAAAATCTTGAAATTATTTATTTGCCTAGCATGTTTAGTTTTTAGCTAATATTTTCTAGCATATTGATATGTTTTTAAATTTCCTACTGCAGTTGTTTTTACTGCATTATATTTTCTGTGGAAGTGTATGTGTGTGTGTGTGTGTGTGTGTGTTGTCAGGAAAGAAGTCTAACTGGATGATATGGGGTTTTTTTTGTACATTTTTGAATTTAGAAGATCAAGATAGATTTAGATTAGAATGCTATTAAATTTGGGCTGGAGCGATGACTCGGTGGTTAAAAACACTAGCTGCTCTTACTGAGAACCTGTTTGTTTCCTAGCAACCACATAGCAGCTAACAACAGGCTGTAACTCCAGTTCCAGGGGATCTAATGCCCTCCTTTGGCCTTTGCAGGCATTGTAAGCAGGTGGTACACTTAGATACATGCAGGCTAAACACTCATACACACAAAATAAAATTTTAAAAATTTAAAAGAATTATATTAAATGTAGATTTTTTTCAAAGCGCTTTCCATGGACTTTGATTATAAATCCAATAGTTGTGAGCAAAGTATCTAATTTTCTATTTACACTCTTTTTGTAGATATTTGATGATATCATAAGCCTACTTTGTATATGGATATAGTATCTCCCACTCCAATATTTCTGCAGTTTTTTTCTCATTAAATACTTTTATGTAGACAGTAAGCTAAATTGAAGAAAGACAAGTGACAAATCATTGACATGATGAAGAGAGAGACTTTAAAGAATTCAAGTTTTTCTCATACTGTTTTTCAGTTTAGTACTTAGTAATTTGTATATTGTAACCTAATACTTATGTGATTGCAGATTCTTCCATTAAAAAATTAAGGTAGTAAAGGGAATTGTTGACCAACTTCAATTATCAATATGAATGACAATCAGTAAGAATTATGATTGGAACATAAATATGAAAATATGTATTTCTTTTATGTAATTTTGTTTTAAAAAAGGATTGGGAAGTTCATCCATGAATGCTCAGAATATACAAATGCTTTTGGAAAAACTCAAAGGGATTCCTCAATTAGAAGGCCAGAAGGACATGATAACATGGATATTCCAGGTATATTACCAAAGTGAACAAATCAAATCTTGGTTTAAATACAGTATGTGTTACTTAATGACAAGGATGCAGTCTGATAAATCATTGAGTCCATTTATCCTTACTTGAACATCATATGGTATTCTTACATAAACCTACATAGTTTGTTGCTTGATATGGCCTCAGTACATTCAAGAAATAGGCCTAGAGGCAAAGGCATGCAGATCTCTGTGAGTTTTGAGACTTGCCCAGTCTAATAGGGAACTCCACATCAGCCAGGGCTACATAGTGAGACTTTGTCTCAAAAAAAGACAAAAAAAAAAAAAAAAAAAAGTAACATCGCCATTTATTATCATCAAATATTATGTACTGTATATATAATTATACATTTCTATGCTATGTGTGACAATATGTAAAAATCTACTTGGCCACTAAAATTCAGCCACTATCTTTTTTACTTGTAGAGTCATTTACATTGCCATGATTATGCCTGTTTTTTTCATGATAGTAATTCCATTTTCCCTCTTTCATTGGAAAAAAATGTAATAACAAATATATATTCATTTGTGTCATTGTTTAGCCTGCATGTAATTAAATCTGCTGAGTAATTACCACATGCCATGTTGAATTCAAGACCTTGAACAGCACAAACTGCTTGCCTTTGTGGAGCATACACCATATTTGAAAAACAGATAATGAAAATAAAAAAATAAACCTAGGCATGGTGCCACATGTGTTTAGTCCTAGAATTCAGGAGCAGAGGCAGAGGCAGAGGCAGGTGGATCTCTTTAAGTTCAGCCTGGTTTATATAGTACCAGGGTAGCCAGGGATATGCAATAAGACCCTATCTCAAATGAAATGAAATGAAATGAAATATGAAATGAACTATGAAATGAAATGAAATCCAGTAGAATGGGTGAAGTTACTTTGAGGATTCAGAGAAGGCCTTTGTCAGAAGGTGACACTGGAGCTAAGACCTAAATGATATACAATATTATAAGACTCTGGAAGAGGGAGCAGCAGTGCAAAAGTTCTAAAGTGGCCAAAAAGAAAGCCAGTGTGAACAGAACATAATGGGAGGGAAAGAAAGGTAGGCAGGCTTATCAGAGGGATAACAAGGGACCAGACTATGTCTGCTTTATAGATCAGAATAAAGTGGTAGGTTTTCATTTTGAGGACATACATTATTTAAGCTATTTTGTGGTGTGCTATATTATCCTAATATTTGGAAAGCTAAGGCAGAAGAATCACTGAGCCGAAGAGTTGAAGATCTCATGCCAAAATAAAAAGTTAGTGCTGCTCTCCCACAAATGTCTCTCAGGCAAACAGATGTGCTCATAGCAACAGACTTAATCAGCTCAGCTGATGGCTCATTGACTGGAGATGTTCCTTGTCACAGTTGAGGTTACTTTTTTGGATTATTTTTCTTCTATATATTTAAGCAGCTTATGTCAAAGACATTTAAAGACAAAACAGTAGAGTCAGATTAGTGATTTTTGCCTTCTTGGTCAATCTAACTAAATGTAATATTTCATATTTTTTAATAGATGTTTGACACAGTGAAGCGATTAAGAGAAAAATCTTCTGTAATTGCAGCCACCACTTCAGGACTGGAGCCCATTAAGAATGATGAGGTAACATCACTGTAACTGTGCTGACATTTGTCTCTTTTTCAATGAGTTACTTCTTTCTCTTTATTAGGAGGAACTGTTTATATGTGAGTTCTGTCCAGTGCTTCTGTGCTTCCTGTGCTTCTGGACTGCATATACAGATACTCAGTATGATATGTGTATTTTACAAAACCAGAGGAACTTGATATCCAGTGGAAGTCTATTAGAAAAATCAAATTATATTGATTTTTAAAATACTTCCATGTCTAAAACTAGGATATGTCTCAGTCAGTGGCATTTCATAATTTAATCAACAGGATTCTTCTGTCAGAGGAGCATAAAAAACAGTACATCAGCTGGGCATGGTGGCGCACACCTTTAATCCCAACGCTCAGGAGGCAGAGGCAGGCAGATCTCTGTGAGTTCAAGGCCAGCCTGGTCTACATAGTGAGTTCCAGGACAGCTGTGGCTACAGGGAGACCCTGTCTCAAAAAGACCAAAAAAAAAATAACCACAAAAAAACAAAAAAAAAAGTACATCTTATATTCTATGAAATTAGATAAAGTATACAGCATGATTTTCCATAATGTAGTGAATCAGATTTTGCTAATTTTTAATTGGTTAATTAATTAGCTAATTTTTAGCAATTAGAATATTGTTACTTGAGATTATTAACTATTCTCACTGGACTTGATTTTAGGATAGAAGGGTGAGGATGTAGCTCAGTGGTAGAACATTTGCCCATCATGTAAAAAGGCCTGGGTTCTATCCCCAGCCCTTGTAGTGGGTTAATGTTCTGGATTTCATTGGAGTCTGTTGTGACAATACCCTTTGCACCTCAAATTTTGTTAATTTGAGTCTTCTGCTTTCTTTTTGTTATATTGGGTAAGGGTTCGTCAGTCTTAATTTTTTCAAAGAACTAGCTCTTTGGTTGATTTTGTGTATGGTTCATTTAGTCTGTTTCATTAATTTCTTCCCTAATCTTTATTATTTATTGCCATCTCTTGAATATAGGATTGGCTTCTTGTTTTTCAAGAGCCTTGAGGTACATCATTAGGCAGTTTGAGATCTCTCAGATTTTTTTTTTGAGCTATTTATTTTTTGTTGTTGTTGTTTACGAGTGCTTTGCCTCCATGTATGTAAGTAAATATGTGCATATAGTGCCCACAAAGGCCAGGTTATTAGCCACTATGTCAATACTGGAATCAAACCTAGGTCCTCTATGAGAGTAGCCAGTGCTCTTAACCGCTGAACCATCTCTTCAGCCCCATCTGGCTTCTCAGAATTTTTTTTTTTTTTTTCTTTTTGAGACATGGTCTCTCTGTATCCCCAGCTGGCCTAGAATTCACTATATAGACCAGGCTGGCTTTGAACTCACAGAGATCTGCCTGCCTCTGCCTCCCGAGTGCTGGGATTAAAGGTATACCACCACTCCTGGATCTTTTTTTTTTTTTTTTTTTTTTTTTTTAAGATGAGCACTTACAGACTTCCCTGTTAGGCTGGCTTGGCTGTGTTGCAGAGCCTCTGGTAGGTTGTGTTCTCATTTTCATTTGACTCTAGAAATTTTTAATTTTTTTCTCTGATTTCTATAGTGACCCAGTGTTCATTCAGAAATGTATTATTTGGTCTCCAAGTATTTTTGTAGTTTCTGTAGTTTCTATGTTCATTTCATTTAGGTCTGATAGAATACAAGGAATTATCTCAGTTCTTTTGTAGTTCTTAAGGCTTGATTTGTCACCTATGATGTGATCAGTTTTTGAGAGGGTTCCATGTGCCACTGAGAAGAATGTATATTCCCTGTTTATTGGGTGGAATATTCTGTATGTGTCCATTAAGTCCAGTAGGTTCATGGTATAGTTTAACTCTGAAATTTTTTTAGTTATTTTTAGTTTGGAAGACCTAATCTAAATATGTGAGAGTAGGGTATTAAAGTGTACCCAACTATTATTTAGTCAGGACTTATGTGACCTTTTATGCTGAAGGTATTTGTTATATGAAATTATAGGCTCCAGTATTCGGTGCATAAGTGTTTACAATTATTTTCTTAATGGATTGTTCCCTTTGTTACTAATGTTGTATCTCTCTTTAGGTCTTCTAAAGTTAATTTGGGTTTGAAGTCTACTTTATCAGATATGGAAATTGCTGCATCAGATAAGGGATATTCAGCCTGGATATGAATTTCTTACAACAGATCTTACCTAATGTTTTTTTTGGGGGGGGGGTTGTTTGTTTGTTTGTTTTTTGGTCTCTTTGAGACAAGGTTTCCCTGTAGCCACAGCTAGCCTGGATTCACAAATGGAGACCAGGCTGGTCTCGAACTCACAGAAATCCGCCAGCCTCTGCCTCCCGAGTGCTGGGATTAAAGGCGTGCACCACCACGCCCAGCTCATGTTATTATTTCTTAATATTCAGATTACTCATGACAAAGAAAAAGCAGAGCGGAAGAGAAAGGCCGAAGCTGCTCGGCTCCACCGCCAGAAGATCATGGCTCAGATGTCTGCCCTGCAGAAGAACTTCATTGAAACTCACAAACTCATGTATGACAGTACATCAGAAATGCCCGGGAAAGAAGACTCCGCTATGGAGGAAGAAAGGTAAAGTGAAGCAGAATAACAACTGATAAGCTCAATTTTTTTTTTTTTTGAGGAAAAATTGAACATTCAACTTAAATCATGTTTTCCAAAAGATAAAAGGTAAGAACAGCAGAAATAGAAACCAACCTGTTATTTTGTGTGTGTAGGCATTTTTAGATAACACAGTTACATATGCCCACATATATATTCCATATTGTTTTTGTGATTTCTAGGAAAAATGATTTTATTGTAGATTGATAGAAGTAATTTATACTAGCTTTCCTTTTATTTGTTTGAGACAGTCGTCCTATATAGTTCAAGGTGGTCTTGGATTTGCAGCCATCCCACCTTAGCCTCCCATGTATTGAGATGACAGATGACAGGCAGGAGATACCATTCTCTCTCTCTCTCTCTCTCTCTCTCTCTCTCTCTCTCTCTCCTTTTTCAGATAGAGTCTCCTTGTAGCCACAGCTGACCTGGAACTTGGAACTTGCTATGTGGAGCAGGCTAGCCTTGATCTTACAGAGATTTGCCTGTCTCTACCTCCCAGGTGCTGGGACTAAAGGTGTATGTTTACCCCCCACACACACACACACACACTCACTCTTTTTTCCTTCCTCCTTCTCTTTCTTTCATTTTTTTTTTTGTTTTTTTTTTTTAATATAGCCCTATCTCAACTTGTACTCTTTATGTAGCACTCCTTTTGCTTCAGCTTCCTGAGTGCTGGGCTTACAGGTGCCAGCCACCATGTCAGCTTTATTTTTCTGAAAACTAAAGGCGTAATCATATACAAGTGCATGGATAGTTCATTTGAATGAGAATCAGTAAATTTGATTTTCTGAGTCTTGACTATGGTATGCACTTAAGAAAATGGGTTTAACCTTTTGAGCCATTTATTGTTGACTGGTATGTGTATGTGTATTTGAGAAAAGGAAGTGGGTGAAGTGATTGTACTTTGAAATAGCATTCTAACAAATTAAAAATGCCGCAATAGTTTTTTATGCTCATTTTTTAAAAACAAGTTCTCACTGTATTTAAAAGTGCTTGAGGGGCCTGGAGAGATGGCTGAATGGTTAAGAGCACTGGCTGCTCTTGCAGAGAACCCAGGTTCAAGTCCCAGTACCCACATGGCAGCTAACAACTATCCTTAACTCCGGTTCCAGGGGATTCAAGGCCCTCTTCTGACCTCCACAAGCATTGCATGACATGGGTACACTTACACACATGCAGGCAATACACTCAAAAAGACAAAAAAAAACAAATGTGTTTTAAAGTAGGTGAGGTGGCCTTTAATTCCAACACTCCTAAGGCTGAGTCAGGAGGACTATGCAGCCCAAGTTGGGCTGCATAACAAAGTCATCTCAAAATAAATGAAAATACACAAATGAATAAAGAAGGAGGGAGGTAAAGAAGGAAGGGGAGGATAAAGGAAGGGACTAGGAGATAAAAGAAAAAAGCAGGTTGGGGAGATAACTCAGTAGCAGCACCTATGTTTGAGGTCTTACATTCAATGCCAGCACATTACATTTTTTAAAAATAGGTATGAAGATAAGCTTTCCTCAGCTGACTAGTATAATAAAACCACATTTATTTTATAAATAAAAACTAAAGAAGTCTCAGCTGAACATGATGGCACACACCTGTAAACCTAGTACAGGCAGATCATTGCAATTTCTAGGCTAACCAGGGAGAGATTGTCTAGAACAACTAACACACAGATATTCTCTGTCTCTCTCTTCTCTCTGTCTCTGTCTCTCTGTCTCTGTCTCTCTGTCTCTCTGTCTCTCTGTCTCTCTCTCTTTCTCTCTCTCTCTCTCTCTCTCCTCTCTCTCTCTCTCTCTCTCTCTCTCTCTCTCTCTCTCTCTCTCTCTCTCTCTCAGTGGCTATGCACAGATGCTAATCTTTCAGGATCAGGGCTCAGTTCTCAGCATCCACATGGTGGCTCACAATCATCTGTAACTCCAGTTCCAGGGATTCTAGCATCCTCTTGTTGCCCCTGAGGACACTGCATGCACTTGATGCACATACATACGAACATTCATACACACAAAATGAAACATTTTTAAAGGATAAAAGCAAAAGTGTGCTCAGAATTAATTAATGACCTTGATGCTTTCATTATTTATTGGTTTTACCTGCTTGATTATATGTGTAATTTATTAGTGTTCTCAATGAAACATTTTCAAGTAATGCAGTAAGTTCTCTGTGATTATGCTGAACATGCCCCAGCGTTATCTAAAGACAACCAAGTTTATGGATAACCATTGTTTTAAACTTATTCCTTCTCCTTTATAACCATAAGTACTGTACATAACTAATGGATCATCAGGTAATACTTTGGGAGAGCAGATTAGATGTTGGGAGTTTGCATGATACCTGATTGGCATTTCAAAACACCCTGATTTCTCTTATTTGATCTAACTGGAAAGGGTGGTGCTGCAGCTTTTGTATTAGTGGTTTCTTTTTAATTATATTTGTTCTGTAGCTTCCTTTCTCCTGTAAATCCTTTGTATTAGCACTTGTAGATATATAGTATGGATGCTACACATTATTCGTTTTCTGTAAATTTTAAGTTTTAAAAAATTATTCCTTTTAGTCAGGCATGGTGGCACACGCGTGTAGTCCCAGCTCTTGGGAGGCAGAGGCAGGCGGATCTCTGTGAGTTCAAGGCCAGCCTGGTCTACATAGTGAGTTCCAGGAGGATAGCTGGGGCTACAGGGAGACCCTGCTTCAAAAAGACCAATATATACATATATATATGTATGTATACATTCCTTTTATTACCTACTAAGGTGTACAACATGACGATTACTGTTTCTTTTGGGGGAAAGCTCCTAAAGTCTGTTGTGAGTACATTTTTAGTGTACAATACAATAGTATTAGCTCCAGTCCTTATCCGTACATTAGATCTCTAGACTTAATTATTCTGCATACCTGCAAATTAGTACCTTTGACCCCCCCATTTCTTTCTTTTTTATTAATTTTTCCTTTAAGAATTTCATATACGTATGTAATACATTCCAACCCCACTTATCCTTCCACCCCCTCATATCCCTCCTCCTCCATATTGTTCTTCAGGACTGCTGTGTAGTCTGTCATGGTGTGGGTTTATAGTACTTGATCTAATTTTCGGTGTTTAGGATTCTTCCTGTTTTTTTTTTTTTTCAGTAGTTTGTCAGAGAATTTTCATATGTGCCTTTATGTGTAGTTGTGCCAGTAATTCTCCAAGGGTAGAATCTAACAAATTGAAAGGTACAGGTTAAAATTTTAGTGGATATGGCACATTTCCTTCAAAATGACCATATCAGTTTCTACTCCCAGTAGTGAATGAGTATGCTTCCTCCTCGCCAATTAAAAATGCACAGGAGTGAAGCCCAGCATAGGGTGCTTACTTAGCATGCCTGAGACCCTGGGTTCAGTCCTAGCTCCATAAATGAAAAAGTTAACATTTTCCAGTTGCTAGTTAGTACAAGGATGAGAATCTTCTATAGTTGTTCACTGACTTTACATTTTATCTTCTGAAAATTGCCCGTTATCTTCTCTGTTGAGGGGTTTGTCTTACTGATTTATAGATGTTCTTTTAAAATGTATTTCCCATATTGTTTCCCTATTGTTGTTTTGTTGTTGTTTGTTTGTTTATTTGTTTGTTCGAGACAGGATCTCCCTGTAGCCCCAGCTGGCCTAGTACTCACTGTTGTAGACTAGGCTGGCCTCAATTTCACAGAGATCCCCCATCCTCAGCCTCCCCAGTGCTGGGATTAAAGGCATGTGTCACCATGCCCAGCTGTCCCTATTTTTTTAACATTATGAGGTTTTGCCATAAAGAAGTTTTCAGTAAAGCAGAACTGGTGGCACATACCTGTAATCCCAACACTTAGGAGGCAGAGACAGTCCTCACTGCCAGTCTGAATCACAGTGAGTTTCCAGACCATCCTGGGCTACATAGTGAATCCCTGTATCCAAAAATAATGGGGGCAAGGGGGAAGCAGGGCTCCTGGAGAGATGAATCAACAGTTAAGAGCATTGGCTGCTCTTACAAATTCGTTTCCAACATCCACATGGCAGCCAACTCCAATTCCAAGAAATCTGATGCCCCTTCTGGCCTCCATGGGCATTGTAATTTAATACATGCAGGCAAAATACTCATGAAGTTAATTAATTAATTAATTAATTAATTAGAAGCAAAGCCAGGCGTGGTGGCACATGCCTTTAATTCTAGCACTTTGGGAGGCAGAAGCAGGCGGATGTCTGTGAGTTTGAGGCCAGCCTGGTCTACCTAGTGAGTTCCAGGTCAGCTGGAGCTACAGGGAGACCCTGTCTCAAAAAGACCAAAATAAATACATAAATAAAAACCAAAAAACAAAAGAGGTTTTCAGTGCTGATGTAGGCAAATTTACAGTCTCTTAGAGTTTTAACTCTATCTTAAGGCCTTTCCTATCCCAAAGTCACTATTTTAATTATTAATTACAGTTATGTCACTACATTTTCATTTATCTCTAACATTAAGTGAAATGTTAGAGTTCCTTTGGGATACTAGATCAAATCTTATATCCTCTTTTGTCCTTCTGTGGTTAAAAGTTTTATGTGTGTAGGTGGGTATGGTGGTTCCTATTGGCAATCCCTGCTTTTTAAAGGCTAAAGGAGAAAGAATGAAAGTTCAAGGCCAGCCTGAACTATGGTGAGTAGGAGACTAGCCTGAGCTATACATAAGTAAGACTTTATCTCAAAAAGAAAAAGCTTTGAATGGGTCATGTTTTAATAAAGTTATGTATTATTCAGCCCTTTTTTGCATAAATCATATACACATACCATGCCTCCTAGGATGAAGTGCCACATATTACTGCTGTGTAATGCCTTTTGAAAATACAGTAGTCTATATTATTCATTTACGTTGACAAACATTTGACGTATTTATAGTTTGTTGAATGATGCCATGTTTCAGGGAGCTTCTTATATAATTTGCAGAATGAGGCAGAGTGTGACCTTTGAGCCAGATCACTTGACTTAGTTGAATCTTGGCCATGCAGTTTACTAGTAATGATTCCTGGCTCATCTCTCAATGTCTCTAAGCTTGTTTCTCCCTCTGAAAAGTGGAAGTATCATATTACCTGCCTCATAGATTTATTGTAAGGATCAAATGAATAAACATAAAATGTCTTAAACAGTACCTAGCATCACAGAACATTATAAATACTTTTTTTATTTGTATGTGATTATCAAATATGTTTGTAGATCTTCAGAATTGCTATATCATTAAAGTTTATTAAGATTTAAATTTTTATATAATAGATATCAAAACAGAAACATAACCCTAATTACCTAATGAGAAGGATTGAATAAAATTATTATGGTACATATAATAACAGTACCAGGCAACTTTTTTTTTTTTTTTTTTTGGTCTTTTTGAGACAGGGTCTCCCTGTAGCCACAGCTGTCCTGGAACTCACTATGTAGACCAGGCTGACCTTGAACTCACAGAGATCCATCTGCCTCTGCCTCCCAAGTGCTGGGATTAAAGGCATGCACCACCACGCCCGGCTACCAGGCAACTATTTTTAAATGTTCCTAATAAATTTTGGTGCATGTCAAGATAACAATGATATAATAAGTAAAACAGCATTTAAGTAAATAAATCTGTGTATATAATGTAACTTTATTTATATAAAATGTATATTATAAAAAGAAAGCAAACTGTAAGAACGTGTTGCGTGATTACTAGTGGTTACATTGTAGGAATATAATGCTTTTAATTTTCTTTATATGTTTCTAGATTTTTCTAGGCTTTCTTTGATATATATATTTCATATTTATATTCAGAAAAAAGAAATAGCTCAACTTTTGTTGATAAAATAAATGATTATGATATACATATTATTTTTTGATCTATTTTTTTGTTTGCTTCCTGGCTTAAAGCCAGAAAGTTCAGGTGGGATGTTTTTAAGGTAATATTGCTAAATATAATTTTTACTTTTATTTATTTACTTAAAACTTACCAAAATATAAAGACAAGTGACCAAAACATGCCCTCATTTCTGGTCGTTTCTTTTGGTAGCACCCCAACAGTCAGTGACTACTCTAGAATTGCTTTGGGTCCTAAGCGGGGTCCAACTATTACTGAAAAGGAGGTGCTGACATGCATTCTCTGCCAAGAAGAACAAGAGGTGAAAATAGAAAATAATGCCATGGTACTATCTGCCTGTGTCCAGAAATCCACCGCCTTAACCCAGCACAGGGGAAAGCCCATAGACCTCTCAGGGGGTATGTATTACTCAATTAATACACTTTTGGCCATTTCTTTTCCTGCTTATGTAATTAAAATAAAAGTAGACTTTGAAAGAAGTTTGGCAGTGAGGTTCTATTTCAGTCCTATTTGGTCAGATCACATACACATATATAAAATAGACTACCATGTTGACTGCTTGGCTTGCTTTATTTACTTATTTTTAATTTTTGTTAGCACTTGGCCACATTGCTCATTCAATTTGTCTAGCTTTGGTTTTATTTTTATCTTACCAAACCATTTGAAATTAGATTACAGACCTCATAGCACTTCATCTCCAAATATTTCTGCATGCATTTTCTAAACCTGAGGTCAGTCTGTCATACTTATACCATTGTCATTTTAAGGAAGTTAATAATTCAGGAATATCATATCATATAAAAATATATATTTCTGGCCAGGTGTGGTGGCGCACGCCTTTAATCCCAGCACTAGGGAGGCAGAGGCAGGCGGATCTTTCTGAGTTCAAGGCCAGCCTGGTCTTATTTTTTTTTTTTTTCTACCACTCTCCTCAAAATACCTTCAATAGGTAGACATTTTTTTTCACTCAAGATATAAACGTGTTTCATGTATTGCTTTGATTAAGTTTCTTTTAACGGAGCATGGTGGCTCATGCCTGTAGTCCCAGTACTTGGGAAGCTAAGGCAGAAGGATTGCCATGAGAATGAGGCCAGTCTGGACTATATAGTAAGTTCAAAGCCAGCCTGGGCTATAGATTGAGACACTCTCAAAAGCAAAACAAAAATTTCTTTTAGTCTATTTTAATATAGAATAATCTCTTGCCCTTTTTATGATAATAACTTGTTTGTAGAATGTAGACGAATAATCTTACACAATGACACATTGTGAATTTATCTTTTTGAGTTATGATTAGGTATATATTGAACATTTGCTTCGTAAAAATACTAATTGGTGCACGCCTTTAATCCCAGCACTCAGGAGGCAGAGGCAGGCAGATCTCTGTAAGTTCAAGGCCAGCCCGGTCTACATAGCACATTCCAGGCCAGCTGGGGCTACAGGGAGACCCTGTCTCAAAAAGAACAAAAAAAAAAAAAAAAAAAAAAAAAAAAAAATACTAATTAGGCAATACATTACATTAATATCACATCAGAAGTTAGGTGCTTTATTTTTAAAATGCCCTTGAAGTAATAATAATGATAACCAAACTAACATTTATTGAATACTTAGCATGTTCTAGTCACTGATTAAGTGCTGTATGTGTCTTTACTTGCTTAATCCCCAACAAAAACCCAGTGCATTACATACCATTATTGACTCCATTTTGTAAATGAGGGAACTTATGCACAGAGAGGTGAATGGGCCTAAGACCATGAATGATATAATGATATCAGAATTTGAAAGGCACATTCTGTGCTTTCTTCCCACCTAAAATTGCCATTTTTAAAAAATTATTATTTAAAATTACAAAGTTGAATTTGTTCTTGAAGCATAGAATATCACTTCAACAACCAAGATAATGCAGCTTAAATCTAATGTTCAGAATTAAAATGTAAATGAAATACAGAGTTGTGGTTAATCCATACTAATTTTAGAACCTAACCTAATGGTCTTACCACTTTTCTTCTTTTCTCTTACCTTTAGGAATATATATCTTGGGGCTAGAGAGATAGCTCAGTAGTTAAGAACACTTGTTCTTCCAGAGGACCCAGATTCATTATTACTTCAAAAACGTGGCAGCTAACAACCATTCCTAACTTCTGTTCCAGAGGATCCAACACCCTCTTCTGGCCTCTGTGGGGCATTGCATTCACATGGTGTACTTAATATACATGCAGGCAAAACACTCATACACATATAAAAATAATAAGTAAAATATTGATTTTTAAAAAAGAATGTATATCTGGCTGACATGTTGTGATACTTGGGCATTCCTAAGAAATGAAATTTCGTGGTTAGAATTTTAGACCTGCTAACTCTTTCACCATTCCCACCCTCTTATAACTTTGGAAGACATAAACACATACCTCTTACTTGTGTCTCTCTGAATTAGAAACCCTGGACCCTCTTTTCATGGATCCAGACTTGGCACATGGAACTTACACAGGAAGCTGTGGTCATGTAATGCATGCAGTGTGCTGGCAGAAGTAAGTTGTCCCTCTGACATGTTCTTGAAAGAGACTAGGGACATTGAAGTTCACTACAGGCCACAAAAAGGCATGTTTTCTCATGTCTTCTTTCTTTTTTTCTTATTGGAATAATTAAAGCAATTTTAATAACTAATCCTATTTGCATGATACTAATTGTATTTATTGTAAGCCTTAGAAACTGATGAATTGATGTATAAAGTTACCAGTTTAGTATTTTCAAGGGCTAGGGATACTGCTTAGTGATTTACCATATGCTTAGCATGCACAGTGTACCTGATTCCATCCCTACTGTTGCAAAAAAATGTTTTGGTATTCCTTTGTGCCTGCTTTCCACAAACTAATCAGTATTAACATTGCTTATCAGTATTTGTGGAAGAAAAGCAGTAATCCTTAAAAGTGCCCTTGCAATAGGACAAGAAGTCCTGGTTTTATTTCAAGAAAAAATAAAAATTCCAAAATACAATTTCTGAGAAACTTTTTGTACAGTTTACTCATTTGGCATTGGATTAAAAATGTATAATTTTCTAGCCGTGAGTGGTGGCTCATGCCTATAGTCCCAGCACTTGGGAGGTTAGAGGCAGGCAGATCTCTGTGAGTTCAAGGCCAGCCTGGTCTATATAGTTAGTTCTAGGCCATCTGGGGCTACAGGGAGACCCTGTTTCCAAAAAAAAACATATAATTTTCTAATGAAAATTCTTACTGCTATAGCTGATCTTTGAGAATAGTATCTAATTATGCCTGTATGCTGTTGAGGCAGAAGATTCATTAAATTAATTTAAATTATTTGCTGTAATATATTTTCTATTTTATCTCCCACCCCCCAAAAAGTGGGCAGTCTTTCTTCTGTAATTATCACATATGGTTTTGCATGTAAGTTCTAAAGATACGACTTATGGGAGCTAAAATTCCAGACCTTTCAACTTAGAATAAAATAGAGACATGTGTGTTGTCCTAATAGATCTGCATCTTTGGGATTTTGCAGGTATTTTGAAGCTGTGCAGCTGAGCTCTCAGCAGCGCATTCATGTCGACCTTTTTGACTTGGAGAGTGGAGAGTATCTTTGCCCACTTTGCAAGTCCCTGTGCAATACTGTTATCCCCATCATTCCTGTGCAACCACAGAAGATAAACTGGTAGGTTTTAACTTACATTTTGGTTATTTATTTTTAAACTGCCTTAAATCTTTAATGTGTACTGATTTTCACTCTATTCTAGTTTCCTCTTTTCTTCCTGAAGGAATACCATTTTCATTTCACAACTTATGTCATGCTTTCGATGTTTAAGAGAATTAGGATGTTCAGGGGCAGGAGAGATGGCTCAGCGGTTAAGAGCACTGACTGCTCTTGCAAAGGACCCGGGTTCAAGTCCCAGAACCCACGTGGCGGCTATGGACCGTCCTTAACTCCAGTTCCAGGGAAATCCGAAGCCCTCTTCTGACCTCCGCGGCACTGCACAAAATGGGTGCACTCACGTACATGCAGGCAATACACTCATACACATAAAATAAAAATATTTAAAAAAAAAAAAAAAAGGAGCCGGGCATGGTGGCACATACTTTTAATCCCAGCACTTGGGAGGCAGAGGCAGGCAGATCTCTGTGAGTTCAAGGCCAGCCTGGTCTACATAGCGAGTTCCAGGTCAGCTGGGGCTACAGGGAGACCCTGTCTCAAAAAGACCACAAAAAAAAAAAGAGAATTAGGATGTTCATTTACTCAAAGTGTTTTGTTGTGCATTTTTCTTCCATCCACCATTAAAGCAATAGAACCCCGAGATCCAAATACCACTAGAGACCTGTAAAAAACGTTGATGATGAAAATAAATAAAAACACTAGATTCATCACATATCCTTGAATAATATATAAGCATTTAAGATTTAAAATTTTTTTATATTCTAACAATCTATAATTGGAATTTGACTGTACATTCATGAGTTTTTAAGTAGTAATTAGAACATTTCATTACATATATCTGTATTCTCACTGTTCTACTTGATGAAAACATAGTATTTAAAAAATTGTTGTTCCTTAATTTAAAAAAAATTAGTAAGCCAGGCGTGGTGCAAGGCAGGCCTGGTCTACATAGTGAGTTCTAGGCCAGCTGGGGCTACAGAGAGACCCTATCTCAAAAAGACAAAAAAAAAAAAAAAAAAAAATTAGTAAATTTATAACGATGAGCCTGTTCCACCAATGAAAAGGGTTTTGCTGATTTGAAAAATGACTTTGGGGATGTAGCTCAGTGGTAGGATGCTTGCCTAGCATGTATGAGGCCCTCTGTTCAATCCACAGGATCACAGAACAACAATAGCATGCATTTAGTGTGTCCCCTAGAACAAAAGAATTTGAAAGTGGCATGTTTGGGAGACAGTCAAGAAGTGGTTGCTGGGGCTGGAGAGATGGCTCAGTGGTTAAGAGCACTGACAGCTCTTGCAGTGGACCCGGGTTCAATTCCCAGCACCCACATGGCAGCTATGAACCATCCTTAACTCCAGTTCCAGGGGAATCCGAAGCCCTTTCTGACTTCTGGGACATTGCAGGACATGGATGCATTCATATACATGCAGGCAATACACTCATACACATAAAATAAAAAAATAATAAATAAAATATTTTTTAAAAAAGAAGTGGTTGTTTTATCACCACTGTTAGGAAAACCTAATTTGGGATTTATCTCATTCAACATATTGGGACATAGACTGTCAGCTAGGGGAAGAAGAGATTGTCAGATTTATCTTTCATTTATTGAGTAATAAGCTCTAGATACTCTGCAATGCAATTGTCACATTGTTTTACTTAATTCTCAGTTGTCTACTGAAGTGGATACTGTTATTGCCATTTAAACATAAAGAATTGGGCAGAGAATATGAGTGATTTTTATTTGTTCCAAGACAGATTCAGGATTTGACCCCAGACCTTACTTCTAACTTCTGGGAGATGTTTTTATTGTTGTTTTTTCATTTGTTTGGTTTTGGTTTTTGAGACAGGGCCTTGCTGTGTAACCCAGGCTACCTTGTGTTCATGATCCTTCTCAGCCTCCTGAGCATTGAGATTTCAAGAGTATGCCACCATGCTCAGCTTCTAGCTCCTGGCTAACCCACACAAGACTTTTTACAGACTGGTTCCCCCAAATAAAGATAAGTAAACACTGAGGTTGCTCTCTAACCTTTTAAAGAAATAGTAACTTTTTTCTTTTTAGACAGGGTCTCCTGTAGCCCCAGCAGGCCTGAAATTCATTGTATAGAACTGGCTGGCCTCCATCTCACAGAGTGAGATGCTACCCGAGTGCTGAGATTTGCCACCCGAGTGCTGAGACTGAAGATGTGTGCCACCATTCCCAGCAGCAACTTCTTTTTTTTAACTTTCTTAATTGACTGCTTCAGAGCAATCTTTTCTAAGGACAGAAAATTGATTCTTTTGATCACATCTTTTAGAACTGTGATATACTTAGTCTGCATTAATAGTTTTGTTACTTAGGATCTGAAATGCTTAATCATACCTGACATATTTACTAGGCACTTTAATTTGAAATTTCATATGTTTAGAAAATCAGTATCAGTAAAAGATAATAAAGAGAAAATCGTGTAAGAAACTATCGCCAGGCTTAGTGGTGTATTCCTACTGATGCACAAGAACTGCAAGTGTGAGGCCAGCCTGGGCAACTTAATGAAACCTTGTTTCAAAGTAGAAACTAATAAAGAACTAAGGATATAGCTCAGTGATATAGTGCTTTATTAGCATTTGTAGAGTTCAGTTCCAATACTGCCAAGAGAAAGAAAATTGAGAGCTGATTACTATTAAAACTAACATTCTCACCAGGTGTGGTGGTGCACACATTTAATCCCAGCACTCAGGAGTCAGAGGCCAGTGGATCTCTGTGAGATTGAGGCCAGTCTGATCTACATAGTGGATTCTAGGCTAGCTGTGGCTACAGAGAGACCTTGTCTCAAAAAGACACCTCCTCAAAAAAAAAAAAAAAAAAAAAAAAAAAAACTCCTAACATTCTCTAAAAAAATTTTTTGAAGATTTATTTTTATTTTTTATTATGTGTATATGTGCGGGGTGGGGGGTATGCACATAAATAAGAGTGCCCAAAGAGTCTAGAAGATACGGGTTATGGGACCCTAATCAGGTCCTTTGCAAGAGCAGTATGTGCTCTTAACTGCTAAGACATCTCTCCAGCCCCCAAATAACATTTTGATAAAAAGAAATTATACTATAAGTTTATTAAAAACTTTAAAACTGGGCTGGGGACAGACTTCAATGAAGACAGTTCACATGTCCAGAATCCCTGTAAAAGCTAGGCATGGTAGCACATGTATGTAATCCTAGTTCTCCTATGTAGAGATGGGAAGCTGAGACAGGACAATCCCTGGAAGTTTGTAGGCCAGCTAGCTTGGTGTAGGTAGCAGTGAATAACAGAGTATCTCAAATAAGGTGGAAGGCAAGGACCAACTCCTGACATTGTCCTCTGACCCCATATGTACCATGGCATATATGTGCCACACACACTTAAACACATGAATACCTAGACACACATCATATAGACAGACAATTTTTTTTAACTTGTTAGTATTTTTAGATCATGACTAGTTATAATACACTTTCATTTTTGAAAACCAAAAAGATGCCTTAGGTCAAATTTATGCTAAAAATTCAAATTTGACACAGTTCATTTTATATTTTAACTTCCTTCAAGACTGTCCTTTCAGTAAACAAATTCTTATTTTATAGTCATTTTTAATGACACTACTTCTGGTTCCCTTGTTTCTTAGTTGCAGTCTAGATCCAGTCTGTGCCTTCATGAAGTGTAAATTCCAAGAGGGAGAGGCTGGCAGTAACCTATAACGAGTTGAATAGTAAGAAGTACTGTGGGGAACACTGAAGCAGCAGGTCAATGGCTAGAGGCAGGTTGTGCACAACACTGAAGACAGAATTTTCAGGGGACTCTCACTGAGGTGCCATTTGAGTAGAGACCCAAATGAAGTGAGGGATAAAACACTGCTTCTCTCAAGAAGAAGATAGTTTTAAGCACAGCCAATACCAAGAGAAGGGTCCCAGGTTATAGGTACAATAAGGATGTTCTAGACACAGCAAGAAGACAGCATGCCTTAGGTGGAGTAAAAAAGACCCAGATCATAAGAGGCTTATGAAATCTTTTGAGGTGTTAGAATTTTGAAATGTTGTGTATGACAGAAAAATCCCTGGTCTATTTTGAACAGAGGGATAACAAAATCTGATAATTATAATTCTATAATTATTAATAATTATAATTTTAGAAGATCCTCTGGTTGATATATATGGTGAGTTTATACTTAAACATGGAAACAAAAGCAGAGAAAAAAAACATTAAGAGATCCCAACCTGGGGTTGGAGAGATGACTCAGTGGTTAAGAGCACTGGCTGCTCCTGCGGAGGACCCGGGTGGATTCCCAGAACCCACATGGCAGCTAACAGCTGTCTGTAACTCCAGTTCCAGGGGGATCCGACGCATTCTTCTGTTTCCACGGGCATTGCACGACACCAGTGCACTTACACAAATGCAAGCAATACACTTATACACATAAAATAAAAATAATTTTAAAAATTTTTGAAAAGAGAGAGATCCCGGCCTGGTGGCATACACCTTTAATCGTAGCACTCAGGAGGCAGAAGCAGATGGATGTCTGTGAGTTCAAGGCCAGCCTGGTCTACATAGTGAGTTCCAGGCCAGCCGTGACTACATAGACCTTGTCTT